TCTTCGAAACAACTGAGACTTAACTTTGGTACTCAGAGATAGCGTTCGTTTTTTAATCCACATTTGACCCAAGAATGTACTGACCAGTGGACACAGGGAAGGAGTGGGAGTGAGGACTGTGGCTTCTAATTCTGATCTTGTTTTGCCCTAGAAGGTATGTTATATCAGCCTCAGTCTCCCTATACAAGACACAATTAGGCCAGGCGTGGTGGCTCACATCTGTAATCCCAGCACTTTGGGAGGCCAAGGCGGGAGGATCACCTGAGGTCAGGAGTTTGAGATCAGCCTGACCAACATGGCAAAACCCATCTCTACAAAAAAATACAAAAATTAGCCAGGCATGGTGACGTACACCCATAATCTCAGTTACGTGGGCAGCTGAAGCAAGAGAATTGCTTGAACCTAGGAGGTGGAGGTTGCAAATGAGCTGAGATCGGGCCATTGCACTCCAGCCTGGGTGATAGAGTGAGACTCTGTCTCAAAAAAAGACACAATTAAATCAATTGGTGTTCTTAAACAAAATGCCCTAAGGGGCAGAAAACTGAAGAGCGGGTAGCTGCTCCAGCGGTCCCCTCTTCATGACTCCTGGACATTGCTATCTTTGGGAGATGGGAAGGAGGTAGGGCTTGGCCAGAATTATCTGGCATGTACAATCCTGTTCACATGCAGCCACATATTTGCACACACATATACATACACACGTACAGTCTAGTGATAACACTCAGCTAACTTCCATACTCTTCTAACTAAGGCTTTGAGAAAAACAAAAAGCAGGGCCCCTCCCCATCCCACATACAAAATATAGGGACTCTCCCTAAGGATGTGCCTTTAAAATGTTTTTTATTTTATTGTCTGAATATGCAATATATTCACCTAATTTTTAAAATACACAATAGGAAAAGTCCCATCCCCACCCATTCCCAATCTACCTTGCTCTTCTTCTTGCCATTTGTGTTAGTTCTTTTTTAATTAGGACTTACAGAGTTTCTTTATGTAAATAAAATAAATATAAGTACTTTTTTTTTTTTTTTTGAGATGAGGACTCACTCTGTCGCCCAGGCTGGAGAGCAGTGGCACTATCTTGGCCCACTGCAACCTCTGCCTCCCAGGTTCAAGTGATTCTCATGCCTCAGCCTCCCAAGTAGCTGGGATTACAGGCACACGCCCCTGCACGTGGCTAATTTTTTTGTATTTTTGGTAGAGATGGGATTTCGCCATGTTGGCCAGGCTGGTCTTAAATGCCTGACCTCAGACTATCAGCTCACCTGGGCCTCCCAAGGTTTTGGGATTACAGGCGTGAGCCACCATACCCAGCCACCTTTCTTCTTTCTGACATGAAAAGTAGTATATTACATACCCCATCTGCACCAGCAGCAAGTGCTTTTGATATCTTATTGCCATGTATGTGCAATTCGTAACCTCCCCTCCATCTTGGTCACTGAGTTAATACAGAGGCTCAGCACCTGCAGCTTTGCAGCTCTTCTTCACTAATAAATGTAAGTGGATTGATAATATGCTCTGTCATTCCCAAAGTGTTACTAGAAATGTCTCTTCAATGTCAGTCATAAGACCTCACCATATTTCAAAGTACTTTCCCATTTATTAGCCTATTTAACTTGATCCTCCCCAAACCCCATGAAGTTGGTAGGACAGGTATTGTCCTTGTTTTTAAGGTGAGGAAATCAAGGGTAAAAGTTTGGCATTGTCACACATCTGGGTCTAAGGGCTGTCCTCTGTACCTGATGCCACTTTATTTCTGTTTTCCAAAAACAATGGAGGAACTGCCTTCCATAGTTTTGTTAATACTTCTCCATATTTACCATGTAAGTCTTTCATGTTTTTTAAAATTTTTTATTTTGAGATAATTGTGGATTCATGTGTAGATGTAAGAAACAATACAAAAGGCCAGGCACAGTGACTCACACCTGTAATCCCAGCACTTTGGGAGGTAAAGTCTGGTGGATCACCTTAGGCCAGGAGTTTGAGACCAGCCTGGTCAACATGGAGAAACCCTGTCTCTACTAAAAATGCAAAAATTAGCTGGGCATGGTGACAGCCACCTGAAATCCCAGCTACTTGGGAGGCTGAGGCAGGAGAATCGCTTGAACCTGGGAGGCGGAGGTTGCAGCGAACTGAGATCACACTACTGCACTCCAGCCTGGGCAACAGGAATAAAAGACCCTCTCAAAAAAAAAAAAAAAAAAAAAAAGATGACCGTGTGTGGTGGCTCATTGCCTATAATCCCAGCACTTTGGAAGGCTGAGGCAAGCGGATCACAAGGTCAGGAAATCAAGACCATCCTGGCCAAAATGGTGAAACGCCGTCTCTACTAAAAGTACAAAAATTAGCTGGGCATGGTGATGGGCGCCTATAATTCCAGCTACTCGGGAGACTGAGGCAGGAGAATCACTTGAACCCAGGAGGCAGAGTTTGCAGTGAGCCAAGATCGCATCATTGCACTCCAGCCTGGGCAACAAGAGTGAAACTCTGTCTCAAAAAAGAAAGAAAGAAAGAATACAAAGATCCTGTGTACCCTTCACCCATTTTCTCCCAATGGTATCATCTTGAACAACTGTAGTCCAATCTCAACAACCAGGATAGGATACGGACATTGACACAGTCAACAGGCAGAACAACTCGATGAGGAGGATCCCTCCCGGTGCCATTTTATCTCCACAGCTCCCTCACTCCCCCATAAATGCAGGAGGCAGAGCCCACCTTATGCCCAGCTCTTGCTTCATTTACACTAACTAGACACACACACACACACACACACACACACACACACACACACACACACATACTTCTAATGTATTTTGAAATGGAGGTTAGGAAAGTCTAACACCTGTAACAAGCAACCCCCCGTCGCTGTGGCTAGCATAGTAAAGGTTTATTTCCTGTGCTGTCAGTGGTGGTCATTAGGGATGAAGGGAGGACTCTGCTTCTTGCAAAAGTTCTGGGACTAGCTTCTCTGGCTAGTGGCTCCACCATTCCCTATGTATGGCCTCAGCATCCTCCATGCACCATGTTCTTCAGGCCAGCATGGCAGGGGCCATAGGGGTCAGGCCTAGAAGTGGCATGTATCTCTCCCACACACAGACAGTTTAGTCATTTGGCTCCACCTGACTGCAGGAAGGCTGGGAAATGTGTTTGGCTGTGCCCAGGAGGAAAGGGAAGAATTGATGATGAGCACATGTTCAAGAATAGCCATGGCAGCATCTCTAGTTGTGGTCGAAACTAAAAGAAACCCCAAAACTCCGATGTTCGCTGGCAGAGGAATGAATAGTGTCCAATTTACATTATTATACAACTGTGAAAATGACAAGCTGTATCTATACACAATAAAGATAAAATCTTAGAACCCGAGTATTGACTGGAAAAAGCAAGTTCCAGGAGACATATGATAGAATTTTTATATAAAGAGCTCAAAAAGAAGCAAAATCTGACAATTTGCCCATTTATTTTTTAGGGATATAGAAATCTGCATTAAAGCCATGTTTCTAAAAAAATGAAGGCATCCTGGCCACAGTGGCACATGCCTATAGTCCCAGCTACTTGGGAGGCTGAGACAAGGGGATCCCTTGAGCCTAGAAGTTGAGTCTAGAAGGAGTGATAAACAGGCATTTTAGGACAATGATTACCTCTGGAGATAGAGGCAGGGAGACAGGAGAGAGAGGAGTGGCAAGATCGCTTCAGCTTGTGGCTGTGTCTTTGTTATGAGAGGGAGCACGGATACAGTCATGTTCTGTTTTTCCATTACATTTCAGACCGTAAGTGTATATTACAAGTATTCTTTGGTATGTATCATGTATTGCATAATTTTTAAAAGAATGAACCAAAACATTATAATTAGTAGTAATAAAGATAAGTCTTTATTAGTTCTAAGAATGTGACAAGGAACAGATCCATTGCTTGAAAAGGTAATTCTGATTAATTGGTTTATCTAATGATGTGGAGGTGACCCACACTGGGGTGGTTCTACCCAAGATGACAAATGCCAGGCCCCATTGTTTGGATCAGCCCTCATGCCCTGATCTTGATGCTTTGTGGTTCTCCTCCAATTTCCTTGAAGTTTCCAAAAGTTAGTTATACTCATCCATTGACTCAGTCATCTTCAGAATCTTAGTGTGAAGTCTTAATGTCTACTGTACAGATTATTTCCCTACAGAAAAATCCTACAAAGCTGTATTTCAATCCTTGCCAATGAAATGCAAATTTTACATATCTAAATTACTAAACACTGTCCCGTTAAAAGTATCTCATACCTGCAAAGATATAACCAAATCTAACATTTCAGCAAACAAAAGCTGAGGCTTGTAACACACAGAAATAATTGCTATACAGTTATCACCAGAAGTACATGCCCAGCTTCCAGGGTTACCACATTACTTAATAAACATGTCAAATCTCTTTCATCTTAAAATGAAAGACCCAAAGAAACCACCCCAGTAATGGTTACCAGCCGTGATCCATCCCTTATCTGTTGTTGGCAAACTGTCTGTAAATAATCAATCCAGAACACTCCTCTATGTTGTTTTCCCTTGCTCTCGCCCTTCCCCCTTCTCCTCTCCATCTTGGAAGTTTTCCCCTTTGCCATCTCCACCCTCTGTAGAGACTCTGTACATTCTGCACCCAGAATGAGTCAGCATGTGGATGCATACCCACATTTCTAGGGAAATGGAGTGGGGTTATCAGAAAACTCAATCTGTCCAACCATCGATAAAAATCAAGACATTTTATTGCAACCCAGATAGTTAGCTCAGCAGCCACACTTTGGAACATACAGTACAACTCCTTTGGGAAATACCTAGCTGGGAGTGACTTTCGTTCTCCTGGGTAAAATGTTCTCTTCTCATACAGCAAACCTTTTGTAAAAGGGAAACAGACTGTCAAAACTGGGTGGTAACTGGAGATAAAGGCAGGCCACTCCTGTTTGAATGTTTGTCATTTTGATGGGGATTTTGTTTAACAAGGTTTCTACCTTATCTGTCTTCTTTCAGATTTACAGCTCCAAAGCTCATAAAAGGGAGGCCACAGATGTGAACATGGGCTGTGGAAAGATTGAAAACAAACTGAGGCTATTCAATAAAAATAATCTTGAGATATTTTAGATTTTTTTCTTGTCCCTTTTTTTTTTTTTACATTGACAATGACATCAGGGGCTCTAATAGTTTTCCTGATAGTACTTAGTAGTAGTACTTGGCCAAGTATACATATTGGGAAAATGCCGCAAGGGATATTGCCTTGACATTATTTATAGCCTGTGTTCTATTTCCTTTACTCTCTGCCGAGAAACACGGTTAAGCCTATCATGATAATTTAATTCGAAATTATTTTATTGAACACCTCTTGGGCTAACCACTGTATCAGGTAAGAATAAGATACGGTTTCTCCCTCATGAGATTTTTTATTTAAGAGACAGGGTCTTGCTCTTTAGCTCAGGTTGAAGTATAGTGGTGCGATCATAGCTCACTGTTACCTCAAACTCCTGAGCTCAAGCCATTCTCCTGCTTCAATCTTTTGAGTAGCTGTGGTTACAGGTGCGTGCCGGCACACCTGGCTAATTTTTTTATTTTTTTGTAGAGACAGCGTTTTGCTTTGTTGCCCAGGCTGGTCTCAAACTCCTGGCTTCAAGCATTCATCCTGCCTCCCAAAGTGCTGGCATTACAGGCCTGAGCCACTTTGCCTGGCCCCTCATGAAACTTAAAAAATTAAATTATCTCTTTAAAAAGGACCAGGCCTAGGAACAAGCACTTTAACTGTCTGGCACCTATGTGCACACTCTGTGTGATCTTTATGCTTTGGAGAGAGTTGTGGCGGCCGCTGCTATTGGTCATGTATTTGATTGTACCTGAACCACATACCAACTTCATCTTTCCTGAACCAAGAGTTGACCTGCTGCTCACCCAAATGGCATGACTATTCCTTCAGTCTGTTGATATCTTCTGCTGTTTCTACAGAAGAGTCTCAGCCCTGAATCCAAAGCACACTAATAGTTTTTATTTATGAAACACTGCAACATAAAAGTCATGATTGCCATTGTATAGCAGCAAGGTTTAGTAGCTTGCCTAATATCTCATAGGCGGTAAAGTGAGAACGAAATTTAAACCAGGTCTCAAATGTCCACATTCAAATGCAGCTCTTTCTGTTCTGCCTTGCTTTATCTTAACTCACACAATGATGTAATGCTAGTGTTTCTTGATCCTTATAGTGATGTGATTTCGTCCTATTCCCTAGGATTCGGGAGGCAGGTCTACATGGGATGCAGGCACACTGAGTTGATGTGTATAGATTATGTTCCAGAGCCTTGGAGGGCACAAGGATATGAAGTATCGTATTTGGCTCTTCCCAGTTTGGAAGATAGCTCTCCATAAGCACATAGCTAGATTTCAGTGGGATGCCTGAGGAGTTTGGCAGTGTTTGTGATAAAAGGAGGCAGCGGCTTCGCATATATTGACTTCTTCAGAAGCACACAGGCCTAAGGTCTTAGGATTTTCACCCATCATCCCAAATAGAGGAGATTTTTGTAAATGCAAGGTGGTGGAGTGTGTTTGATTTGGTTAGGTCTCAGGCCAGGCAAAAGCCACTACCTCCCACGAGGGCGCCTTCCTGCTGCACCCGGAATTTGTTCCTTCAAGGATTCCCCGCCGAGGCAGTAAACCAACATGATTTCCTCTCCTTCTGGCCCAGGCCCTCACAGGGACAGCTGTACTTCCAATTGCAGTGACATGACTCTGTCACAGTCTTCAAATAATTTCTAGTTTTCTTCTTCAAAGAAAAATTTTTAGAGCTCTATCAACACATTGTGAAGGAAACAACCCTCTTAAATATCCATGCCCTTTACAGCAAATATCCCATTGACATATTAAACCAGAGGCGGTCTTGTGGTTTTGAAAAAGATTTTAGATAAATACAGAAGGCATGTATCACCCCAGATCCATCCTTTGTAGAGTCATTGGTTAAAAGGGAAAGGGCCAACCAGGCAGGTTAACAGTATGATATAATATTGAAAGACTCTGCAGATCAGTTTTGAAATGGTAATGTTTAAAATGAGTTCTCAAGTCTCAGTTTCATTGTATGTATGCATTTATGCTCAAACTTGGTAATTACCCTTAGCTCGTGACATTTATACCAATCAGTAATGTTTAATTATCCCAGATGATCACTCAGTCAGTTCTAGGCACATGGTGGAATTTAGAGGGGGTTCCTACTTTCAAGGGCATTAACTTTCGCTTGGCATGTGTGGAGAGATCTTGTAGATACAAACACATTTTGAAAGGGGAGGGAAAGGAGAGTCCTTTTGGCAGGTAGGGAATTGGGAGAATTCTTTTGGGAAAGCATCCAAAAGGAGGTGGTTTCAAGATTCCACTTTGGAGGCTGGGTATGATGAACAGGAGACAAAAGATTCCTTCTGGGATTTAGACCAGCTTACTGCTCACAAAAGCAGCAGTGAGGGTTCATGACCATAATATGTTCAGAACTTTAATTCAAAAGACAAATAGAAATCAAATATTTATCCATGAAAAAGTTGTAAAAGCTCAATTAAATGTCAAGTTTTTTGTTTCAGGTTTAAAAATATGGTCGCTGGGTTTGATAATTTGGACATCTCATGGGAAAATGATCCTTTAGGCAAAATCCTTTAAAACCTGTAGCTTTGGGGCAGAAAGTGGAGTAGGGTTGGAACCCCATATATCAAAAAGGACAGCCTATTGCTTAGGCAAAGGCTGCAGGATAAGAGGAAGGCAAACTGGCTCAACTCAAAGATGCAGACCTTGGTGTAATTCAGAACGGTCAAATGAAGGTGACTTCAAACTTCTATGAAGCTCACTTTTGCTCCAAAGAGTGGTGGGAGCGTAGCAGAAAGTTGAGAATTGGACAGAACTTTTTCAGTTTGACTGAAGACTCGGGGGGCTCCGCATAAACCAACAGTTATTGAGCCTGTCCCATCCCAGAGGTACAGGATGATGCAAGGTGGTGCCTGTGGTCAGGCTGCTCATTGCCTGGCGGAGAAGTCTGTGAGACCAAGAAAGCCCACAGTGGGAGAGGGACTTCCAAAGTTTTGCAAAAGATTTTAGATAAATACGGAAGGCATGTATCACCCCAAGTCCATCCTTTATGGAGTCATTAGTTGAAAGGGAAAGGGCCAACCAGGCAGGTTAACAGTACGATGTAATACTAAAAGACTCTGCATATCAGTTTCAAAATGGTATGTTTAAAATGAGTTCTCAAGTCTCAGTTTCAGTTGGGAATCAGCAGGGAGCACCTGCCTCTGCCTAAGGGAGCTGGGGAAGGTTTCACAGAGAGGCCATTGAACTGGGGACTGACATGGCTGGGACAGCATGTGGAGGGATACGAGTTTGGGAGAGGGGGGTGTTGGAAGAGCCCGGAAGAACCCGTCCTCACTGGAGGAGGGCAAATGCAGGAAGTCATCCATAACACTCTCGCAGCCCATCTTCTGAAATGCCGTGGAACTTTCTTACTCTGGCCGTGATGGGTAAAAATAGGAGCTAGCACAGGCACATGGAGCTGATACAACATCCCTGTTTAGGTTACAGTTCTTACCCACCTCCATGGAATGAACATCATCTGTTCCATCCAGCTTTTAATGGCAGGACCAGGTTCTGTGAATAGGCTGCAAACCGTGGAATGATGTCTCATTTGCCCTTCTCTTTTCTCCTTCTTAACCACGTAGGTACCACATTGTATGGTGCAGTGTGGTGCAGCTTGGTTCCTGCCTGCCCTGACTACATCAAAACTCCTGAGTGCCTTGACAGATTCTGAAGCCTGAACACCTCCCGCCTTTCTCCTCTTCTTTCCTCTCCCCGTTCCACTGTTGAATCAGAAAGGGGCTAGGGAGGGTTGGTTGCTGAACCTGTGTGTTTTTAATAAAACACCTTCAGGCCAGCTGCGGTGGCTCACGCCTGTAATCCCAACACTTTGGGAGGCTGAGGCAGGAGGATCATTTGAGGTTAGGCGTTCAAGACCAGCCTGGCCAACATAGTGAAACCCCATCTGTACTAAAAATACAAAAATTAGCTGCACGTGCTGACACGTGCCTGTAGTCCCAGCTGCTTGGGAGGCTGAGGCACGAGAATTGCTTGAACCTGGGAGGTGGGAGTTGCAATGAGCCAAGATTGTGCCACTGCACTCCAGCCTGGGCAACAGAGCAAGACTGTCTCCAAAAACTAAAAATAAAAAATAAACAGCTTCCTGGGTAAATCTGATGCCCAGCAAGTGTGGAGGCTACACAGGCACCCATCTACACTGGGTTAACTACTCAGCCTACCCACCACCCGCTGGCTCCTAGATTCAGCCTCCTCATTTGGGAAATGGGATTGACACCCTGCCTAGCTCACAGAAGTTTGAGAGGATTAAATCACCTGAAAGCAAATGGGAAGGCATCATGTGCTATAGAAATGCAAGGTGTTACTCATTCCTGTTTGCCACTCCCATGCCTTCACCCTTGCTTATAACTTGTTACCTACAGGATTAGCTCAGTGGCCAGCTGGTTTGTCTCTGGCTCTTGTGCCCTGACACCACATTAATCATTTCAAGACGCCACCTTTATTCGGCGGCCTCCCCCAGTAGACAGACCCACCTTCCCCATCCAACTTTCTCTCCCACTCAGCCTTGGCCTCTTTGTTAACCCTTCTTGCTTTCTCTCCTTGACCTCCCCATGTTCCTTGCACCATTTCTTAAAAGCTGTCTTCAGCTTCACTCTGTAACCTGAGCACTCCCACCTGAATAACACTTGATCTAAATAACGTAGTTAGGAGATCTATTATCTTGAATGATACCTTAATTGTCTTACATATTTGCTTCATTATTCTGCTTAGTTTGCTACTGAGGTCCAAGACTATGTCTAAACCATGTTTTGTTTTGTTTTTGTTTTTCAAGACAGAATCTCATTCTTTTGCCCAGGATGGAATGCAGTGGTGCGATCTCGGCTCACTGCAGCCTTAACCTCCTAGACTCAGGCAATCCTTCTGGCTCAGCCCCCTACCCCTGTAGCTGGCACTACAAGTGCAGGTCATCACACCCAGCTAATTTTTTGTATTTTTAGTAGAGACGAGGCTTTGCCATGTTGCCCAGGCTTCTAAACCATGTTTTAACTGTTATGCACAGTGCCTTGCCCAGGGTTAGGCACTAGATAAGAACTCAGTACCCACTTGCTGAAATGGGGGAGCTGAGTGGTCAGGATACCTGCAGTCTCTACAGCACTTGCATTTTACAGTGTCTCTTTTCATCGCCACAGCCCTAAGAGGTAGATGGTGTGACTCTCCCCATTTTGCAAATAAGAATAGAGAAGCTTAGAGGGGTTATGTCACATCAACCTTGTGGGCTAAGGCTGAGGGAAGACCTCGCAGAAGAGACCAGACTGAGCATGCGGCAGTAGCTCCACTGCAGTGGGTGGCTGCCCACGAGGACGGAAAGCAGAATTCAGGCGACTCCAGCAGACCTGCTTCGTGCAAGTCAAGTGAATACTAGTCGGGAGGGATTTAGGTGACTCAGCCTCTGCCCTGGTTGGAGTCAGGAAGTGGGCTTTGCAGCCCATTTCCTGGGGAATTTTCAGATGGACCAGTGATTTCATTTTCCTCTTCTAAAGCACCCCCATGCGCAGGGAAAGGTTGTTCACATGGCCATTTGGATGAAGCCAATGGATCTGATCTCTTAAAGGAGAAGCCGAAACAGCAGTGGAAACTTTCTAGGCCTGTTGGTATTGTAATTTCATTCTTTGCCAAACATGAATGAGAAATCCTTCTAGTTCGCTCTGACTGAAGCCAGAGTGTAGATTAACAGTGCTTTGATATTTCAGCATTGCTGCCTAGGTTATGAAGGTATAAGCCTCATGTAGGTAACCTGCTCTTGCCTCCATTGTACCTATTGCCTAACTGGGACAGGCCTGGGGTGGGGCTGCTGAGAGCTGACAATGCCAGGCCCAGAAAGGCAAGCTAAAGACCAGCAGGCAGGCCTTGGGGTTGGAAAGCGACACAGTAAACGGGTGGAGTACTAAAGCTGAATTGTGTGTCTAGAGAATTCAGGGCGTGGTGAGTGATCAGCTCCTGGGAGAGCAAAGATTAGTATTTAATACATATGCATTTATTAGCGTGGCTGGGTCTCTCATCAAAAAAGTCATAAATGCACAGATCTGGATTTTAAAGCAAATAGAATTACTGATATATCTCTTCCAACAGCCAATAAACACCCCGCAGTGGGGACAGTGTGCTCGTGGGCTTGCACAAAGAAAAGTGTAGAGTTTTTGATTAAGCTATAGCCTGAAATATTAAAATTGTGATTTTTCAGCCAGGCGTGGTGGCTCACACCTGCAATCCCAGCATTTTGGGAGTCCAAGGTGGGCGGATCACTTGGGGTCAGGAGTTCAAGACCAGCCTGACCAACACGGAGAAACCCCATCTCTACTAAAAATACAAAATTAGTCAGGTATGGTGGTAGGTGCTTGTAATCCCAGCTACTCGGGAGGCTGAGGCAGGAGAACCCGGGAGGTGGAGGTTGTGGGGAGCCAAGATCGCGTCATTGCACTCCAGCCTGAGCAACAAGAAGAAAACTCAGTCTCAAGAAAAAAAAATTGTGATTTTCATGCACTATTAGAAATAGTTTTCAAAGAATTACTTCCTCCAGCCCATCACAACCTCTGCCCATGTGAGAGGTTAGTAGTAAATTATATGTCTTTTGAAAACTTTGCTGAAACTCTCTTCCCTTTTCCAAGTCTACCAAATTTTTATCTCCAAAAAAAGAAAAAAAAAAAAAAAGAATGGGGCTAATATGACAACAAGATTTGTACCTTCACAAGTAAATATTACAATTTAGCTGAGTAACTTGTGGAAGCTTGTTAGTTTGAAGTGACTCACTTGCGTAGATGAAGTTATTTTTAGAGATGTAATTTGTACTGTTTAGAAAAGAATAAAGAGATGGTAAAAGGCTAGATCGCTCATTATAGTTTACAGAGCTCATGAACCCAGCATCCATGCAAAAGATGACTAAGCAAGGGGTCGGTTGGTACTTTCTCTCAGAATTTTACAGATGTGAGTCATCCGCTTTAGTCTGCAGACACAGCATCGAGGTACCTGTGACTCAGCTCTCATTTAGAAAAAGCCCTAGAATTC